GAATTCAAAAGCTCCCACAAAACATAAACAACTTAAACGCATGCATTAAAATAAAAGCTTCCAATGAACAAGATCTGTATAAAATATACCTGTAAATTACCTAAAACAAATATCCGAAGCCGATCGCAGTGAGAGGCAAAAGAAGAAGTAAATCAATCCGATATCTGTTTCAATTAAAAAAAAAAAAAAAANNNAAAAAAAAAAAAAAAAAAAAAAAAAAGATCAATTCATCACATTCACAACAATCGAATCAACATTCATCGATATAAGAAAACGAATTTACATGTAAATATTCCTCAATTTAAGGAAAAAAACAAATTGAAAGTGTTGTTTGTAAGAAAACCTCCGGACGGCGGATCGAAATTCCGAAGTATCATTATCTTACGAAAGATTGACATTATATAGCTGGGGGAGGAGACTCAGAAATATGACGTCACGCAAAATAAGATTTTACCATTAAATAAGGGCAATGCTATATGTACACCCCTTTTTAATAAATTACACAAAGGGCAATGCTATATGTACACCCCTTTTTTTACACACAAGGGGTGTACATATAGACATCCCCTTAAATAATATTAAACAAGAAAAAATGTATTAATTTTCAAATACTTTTTACAAGAATTTATTTATCTATATTTAAAATGACATGGCTTATTTAAACGACTTACCATCTTATATTATATAGCTACATTGTAGTTACGTTAGTTTAAATATTTTTTTTTTCAAATGAATAGTAATAGGTAATTTAATTTTAATTATAAAGGTACATAAAATTATTTATTATTTTATATGTATATATATATGTTAAATTGAATTTCATCAATACATAATTATTTTTCTATATTATATATAAAACTTCGTTAATAAATAATAAATTTGTTAACTTTCAAATATATTTATAATTTAAATTAGTAAATATGTTATAATTTAAAAAAAATAAAAAGATTGACAAAAAAGTATACCTTATAAGTCACATCTACAGTACAAAATATTATTAAAATATGATGAATGTTCTTAAAAAGAACAACAAATATTCAGTATATTTATTATATTCTAAGCCTAATTACTTTTGAATTAAAAAATAAATTAAAATTTATCCAAGCTCAACCAATAAAGCTTAAAAAGTTGGCTCATATAAGAGGATTTAAAACAAGTCCCTATAATAAAAAAATATTTAGCACAAAAAATACAAGCTAATTTTAGTAATTCTTGTCTGTTTAAATATTTAATTGTTTGTATATCTATTTCTTTTATTTTTTTTTTTTGTAACAGATATAGTATAGTAGTGAACATTGGTGTGAAACCACAATCAATAATATTTTAATATTTCTATAAACAACTTATATAATTTTTACACACCATATGATTTTTTTTTAAATTTTTATTTTTTGAATCCGAGTTTATATTTTCGTTTAAAATATTACATTATATTCTATAAGCAGTGTTGTGGAGCAAAGAATGTGCACAAAATATTCTGTGGGTTTTCCTCTTTCTGAAATTTGAAATTGATTGTTTGTTCTGTGACCTCATTTCTTTATTAATTATTTAATTAAGTAACTATTTTGATAGTTTTCAATTTTTTTGTTTGGTAGCCAGCTACTGTATTTGGAGCTATGACCCGATTAATTCGTTGGTCGATTCGGGCCGCACACTTGGCAGTAGTGGATGAGTCTCCCAACAAAGGCTTTCTGCATTCACAATGACTAAAACTCGAGACTTTGTTTAAACGACGTCAAACTGCTTACCAGTTGAACCGATAATAATTTGATAATAGTTAGGTTTCAATTTTCAATGCAGTATGCAGTAATTATTAGTTGTCGAATAGGGACCTGAGAGTTTAGTTGTGGTGACGCGTATGGATTGCCAGCTGGCACGAAGACCCAATAAGAGACTGCCGTGTGGATGTGGCAGTTAGAATGCAGCAGTGCTCTGCTTTATACAATTGTGTTTTTTTGTAACAATAAAACATATACTAACAAAGATAGGAAAAGGATTTATGGTTTGTTTTGTTGTAGTAACATGTACAACACCCGCTTTACACGAGTGTTCATTTAGAAAAACATCTATTAAAATATTTAAGAAAATTTTGAGAGATTTTTTTTTATTTATATTTAAATAATTTTAAAAAAATTAGAGCTCGTCCGATACACATGACAACAATGATAAATCATATAATATAAGTAAAGAAATGAAAGAATATGATTAGTATAAAAATAGTTTTGAACATTAATATTAACTTTTATATTTTAATATATATATAACTAGTACAATACTCGGATACTATATGGGTGTTCGGTTAAGAAATATATGATAAAAGATATTGTTAAAATAATTATTTTATTTAAAAATTTGATGGACTAATTGATTAAAAAAAAAGAGGTATTGATAGTGCAGAAAGTGATTTGTAAATCGTAATTTATGAGGTAAATGTGTGAGAAAATTATAATATGTGAAGATTGCTACTTGCTCAAACTAAGAAAAAATGTGTACTAAGAGAAAAAAAAAATAACAAAACTAAAATGTACACTTATCAAGTTTTTAAAAAATTATCTATGTCTAATATCAAGTATCACTCTAGAGCAAAAATGAATGTCAGCATCCGAAACGTGAGAATCTGTCACTTAGGCTCAACATATTTTGAATAAGTTTATAGGGAGGGATATATATGTAGGGATGTCAATAAAACCCATAGGGTCGGGTTACCCGCATTTTTGGGTCAGGTAAATCCGAGATGATTGGGTTTCGGGTCGGGTTAGGGTAGAAGTATGCTACCCGAACCCCGGGTCGGGTGCGGGTATAGTAAGCAAACTCATTGCCCAACCCGATTACTCTACCCGTTTACCCGCAACCATTGAATCATATATACATACATACATATACATATATATATTTATATTTATAACTTATAATAAATATAAAAGTAGTCATGTGTTATTTTTAAAAATTAGATTATCTATTATAATTTTGATTATTTTATTTTATAATTTTATTATCATTTTTTGTTAATTGTATAATAAAAAAAATAAATATTTAATTTTAAATTTATAATATTAAATAGACTATAAAAGATAAATAATCATATCTCATTATTTATTCCAAAAATAATATATTTTTTTATAGTTTTTTATTGTCAAACTTAGTAAATTAAAATATTATAATAAATTGTGAAATTATTTTATTTTATTTTTTCAAATGAAATGAGATGAGTCGGGAAAAATTTAAATTCAAGACTCGGGTTACCCGTTTACACGACGAAAACCCACTAACCCGTCGGGTAAAACCTAACCCGAACCTGAAGATCACTAGCCGGGTAACGGGTTGGGTATGGGTAGGGTAAATTATATGCGGGTCGGGTTCGGGTTTGCCAAAACCCGTACCTAACCCGACCCATTTACATCCCTATATATATATGATTATTCCACCCGTAACAAAATTATTGTCATTTTATAGTTTATGATTAGAATTATAGAACATTAAAATTAATATATTTAAACATCATCAATAATAATACCTACATAAATATTTCTCTCTCTCTCTCTCTCTCTCTATATATATATATACATATATATATATATATATATATATATTCTTTTACCTCCTTATTACAATATACTAGTATGACACTCGTGTACTACATGGATGCATGAAAAAATAGATTTAATGGTTCCTTCATTTGACGATTTCTGAATGGTAAAAGTAGCACATGTAGCAATTAGGGTTATGGAAAACCATTTGCCTTTCCTTATTAAAATACACTACAATTGTGTTCTAAACTGCAGTTGTTTGTTGTATGTTATATAATTGTGTTATATATCAACTTTTTTAGACTATTTTTTTGTGAATGTTAAGCGAAGGAAGGATCGCTCTTTCGAGATCTTGTACAATAAAAACCACAAAAAAGAAATTGCCAACTGCAAGATAGTTCATAAAAAGCCTCATTTCGCAAAAAAAGAGGGACAAATTCAAGTGGATCGAAGAACCTTAATCTGCAGGAGCCCAACAATTCAATTTGCAATTTTTTTGAATGTCAAGGTGTATTATATTTATCCCGTTTCAGAAATATTTATATGTTGTTTATCTTATGTATAACTGCATTCGATTTGGATTTCAAT